GGGGGGGGGGGCAAGGGGGGTGTCGCGGAGCTCGAGTGCGTGTCTCTGCTTCGACCTGCAGAGTATAGCCGGAAGGGGTTGCGGAGAGAAAGAATCGTGTGTATGTATGGAGCTTCTTAACCTCGAAAGGGTTGCGTAAAAGAGGGAGCGAAGGACGGTACGTGGGGGGGGGAGGGGCTGAAAATGGGTATACACATGCGAGTATGAGTAGTTACAGTCACATGTGCTTGTATGTGTAACATACAGCTATAGCCTAGGGAAGACGATACTCGTTCCGTACTGTGGGTGCATGATGCTATCGTGAAGCCGGACGGGCGTGCGCGCGAGCTTTTTATTGAATATCGCGGGTAGTACATGTGCCTGTGTCTTGTGCGTGTATATGTGTGTACGCTACGCCGTTGTGCGGGCACGTGCACATATATACAAGTGTACCCTATACATGTATGTTATATATACACCGTGATGATGATCGTTACGTCAATTATATCTGTGTCACATCCGTGATTGTCTAGCAATACTCGGTGGTGTTGCTCGCGCTGACCCCAGCATATTATGTAATCTTCGAGCAAACGATCAGTTTTCCCCCAAGTAAATACTCTTTTCCCTCAAGTCGAGTACAGCTTGCTTTTCACGTTTTTTTTTATTTTTTTTTTTAATAAATATCTACTTGCGTAGTGTATTTCTTTGAAAGGTTTATCAAGTCCTCAAAGGCTTTCATAGCTATACAGTATTATTACATTATGAAGTACATTGGGTTGAGAACTTTTGGGTTAGTTGACCCAAGGCAGTATTAACCCAAAAATTTCGTACCCAAATTTAAAACACTTGTGAATAAGTGTATTTTAAAACGAAATGTATTTGCTCCTCCGACCAAAACTGGCACCTTATGGCCAGCACTGTCGCCTGCTGCTATAGAGCTGGCTGGCGCACACGCCCCGACCGACTATTTACGTACACCTACTACTTGCAGTAAACACGCATCGCCTTCTGATCACTGGTATTAACTTACTACCACCACAACGCTATTAGCGCCGTTGTATAAGCACTGCCTTGCTACTGTACGACAATCACGTATCGCTCGTATACAGAGTCGTACACGCGGAGCACACAATAGCACACCCTGCGCAAGCTCGTCTTACCTCTTCACCCCCCCCCCCTTAGGCCTACCTATACGGTTTGTAATAGCTGTGCAGGTTTTTTGAGCCGAGCGTGCGTTTTCCTTTGCTGCAGCTCTATCGCACTTGGGTACTTGCCCTGTGCCACCACCAGTGCCGCACTATACTTTCGCTGTGTGTGTGCCTGTTTATGATGTAAGACACGACACGCGAGAGTTGTACGTGTTTCCTTTTTTTTTTTACACCCGAGTCTCATTTTTCTCTCCCTCTTTCTCGGATTTTTTGGTGTTGTGACTCCCTTTTTCTTACCTCGCGGTGGTATACCCACGAGTCCCTTTTTTCAAACCAATTTGACTGTCCAAGGAATACATGGAACCACGTGGACGAATCCTGGTCTTGATGTGGCAGGTCTTTGGTGACAAGACACTTTGATGTTTTGATCGATATATAATATTAGAAAACCGAGTTGGACAAGTCATCGTTACTGTTCGACAACCGCGATCCATCAGAACTTTTGACTTTCTTTCGCTCTGTCATCGTATTCAGGAGCGCATGGAACTAAAGTTTGATCAATCAAGTCGTTGGGTCGATTTCAGAGTTTTTTTTTTTTTTTTTTTTTCACACCATCGAAAGTTTTCGAAACACAGTTTTTAAAAAGTGACTGTTTAATCCAAGTGACAATGCTAGCATTTTCTTTTTTTTCAACATAATAGATGATATGACGATACAACTACTTTCTAAGCCGTTTCTAACACTTTTGCTCGAAAAAACTGTATGGCTGAAAATATTTCTGTTTCACAAACATTCATTCCGATATTGAAATTAGTCCCCACAATTTGATAACGCAAGGATAGAAGGAAGACTGACCCACGTAATCTCCTGCAATTAGAATCTCTCAGTTATAACATCAGTTACTTTGCAGTGAAAGTATAAAAAAATTCTGCACTTTCTCCTTTTCCCTTCATTGCGTTTCAACAGAAAACAATCCAATGGCGGGCACACGAAAATCACCGCTCTTAATTATTGGCGTACAAATAAAAACCCACAACCGAATGTCCAAACTAGTGGTGGACTCGAAAAACCCTCCGAACCTGCGAAAGTTACCTCGGTGAGGAAAAAAAAAAAAAAAAAAAAAATACAACCAAGAGCCCCTACGCCAGTCCTCCCTTTCGGCTCCGTTGCGAGAGCTCGTACAGTACAAGGGCGGCGACGCGGGCAGGCCTCCGCGATAATCTCGTTAAGTCATCGATATTCCAAGCTCGGGCTGCCAGCGAGTCTAGCGACGAGCCCGGTTGTACGTAGCTCTGGTTTTATTTTTTTTTATTTTTTTTTTTTTTCCTTCGAAACACTTTTGCACGTATCTGCTCTTCGCAGGGGTGGGTATTCACGCTTCTTTTTCCTATCTCGCCGGAAGAGCACTCCCGGGAGACGCAGAGACCCTCGAAAAAGATTGGTGCGTGTTTTTTCAGGGGTACGAAGAAACGGCGCAGGCACGGGTACACCAACGTGGATTACAATTTTTTTTTAAATATATAAAGCAACAAAGAGAATAAATGAGTTTACGTCGTGGTGTGGGGTGACCGTAAAGTTTCAGTTGCTCCGCAATTAGGCACTGGATTGAGGAAACTGAAAAATAATTGAATTGGCTTGTGGTTCTCTGGTAGAAAAATTTGAAAAGTTTGCTGATCTCACTGTAAAATCCTAGTGTGTTTAAGTACTCATTTGAAGCGTGTAATCGAAATTTCTGTTTTTTTTTTTACAACATGCTTTATAGTATAGTCTTGATAAACGTTTTAAGAACAGCCAAATCGATGCTTCGTAAACTATTTCACCTATTTTATCCTAAAATATTTTTTTCATCAACTATTGATATAAGACGGCTGTAGAGAGTAAAACACAGATTTTACACATTTTTAAGCGTGTTGTACATGTGACGGCCAAGTTTTCTCACTCCACAGATTTTCTATACTGGTTTTTTCAAATGTGTACAGTTTATAGTGAAACTGGTTAACCACTTGGTGCACCATATAGCCTTAGTTGATCTTCACATTCTTATCCACGCCACCACAATGTGCTTTATAAAAAACAAAAATTTCAACTACACACATTAAACGTGTACTTCAACTCGCTTGAATTTACAGGGCTACAGCCCTATCTTTAATCCTATACTTTGCAAGGCTGGAGCTGCGTGAGCTTTTCGACCCTTGCGGATCGATTTCAGGGTCGCACGGCCACGAGTCCATTTCGGCGATTAATACGAAAACTCAATTCAACCGAAAACGCATTAGTTTGAGGTCCCTCCATTATATAATATATGTACATCGTTACATCGTGTGTTTTTTGTATTAATATCCAAGACTCGTAAGATATCAAATAGCGTCGCATGTTCAGCGAGTGATTGGGGGCGAATACGCATTGATATGGGTATAATGTTGCAATTGATGGCACAAACATTATTTTTCTACCTCGGAGGGTTTTTCGTGACATTTGGACATTTAGTGTGCCCTTGACAGAAAAATAGCATCCGCCACTGCCATCACTTGACTTTCACATCTCCATACTCTTTAACCCAATAACGAGAATGTATTTTTAATTCATCAATTCTTCAACATAAAAGTCCCTTTCTGAGTATTCTTGTGTATCTTTAGCTACATAGAGTTTCAGACCTCTTGTTGTCCGAAGTTTTTTTTTTGTTTCGTTTTAAACAACTCCAATCACTTTGCAAACCAAAAGCAAACCTATACTCAGTACGATTAAAATGCAGCCGCCCAGACAGTTGGTAGTAAGCAACGATACCAGTACACATATATATAATATGTACGTGTAGCAAAGCGCTACCTCTATTTTTTCCTCGCATTCGCTCTTCTCGTGTAGTTCGCTTCTCTCATCCGCGCGTATGTGTATATGCATGTGTAGATATTTTACAGGCGCACGGCGCACAGAAGTCGCCGTTACACTATACGGACTTTTATTGCTCATTTCGTCGTCGCCGTCATCTCTCGCTGCTCTTTTTTCTCTACTACTTATATCTGTTCTATCTATACGCGCTCAACGTCTCTCGGATGCCCGACTGTAAGTACCTGCGGTGCGCGATCTCGTGAGTAAGTGCCCCTCGGTATAAATGCACGTAATAACTTGCAACACTTTTTTTTTCTCAATGTGAGCACGATCCGCTTCTTCTTTTATATTTTTTTTTCTCGGATGCAACAAAAAAAACCTTGCCAATTTGATCAATGGATTAACACGATGGTTATTTTACAAATTAATTATATTTGGGGTCGGAGAAAATACTCTCGGCCTCATCGATGCATCTTTTCATTTGTTTTTTTCAT